AGGGTTCCGGGTAGTTCACATTCATGCTCAAAGGGTTTCAGGGAGGGGCATGTCCCATTTGCTATCACGGGCGGGGGAGAGTGGGTATTACATCTCGAAGGGTTCCGGGTAGTTCACATTCATGTTTAGATTTGGAAGGGTTTCAGGTAGTTCACATTCATGCCTATAGGGTTTCAGGGAGGGGCATGTCCCATTTGCTATCACGGGCGGGGGAGGGCGGGGCCAAAAAAAAAGAGAAATGGGCGGCTGTTTTTGTTTTTTGGCCTCCCCACGTTGTATATGCACTCACCCAGCTCAATCCAAGCCCAAGCGCCAAGCCAAACCAAGTCGCTGTTAAGATATTTTGAGACTCTTCCTGTGCCAAACGGGTGCTCTCTGCCTTGTTATCCAGAAAACACAGACTGAGAAATTATGAAACACCAAAACGATGTTCATGTGGCGCGTTTCCTCTTTGACGTTCTCGCGGTTTTTGTGTTTGCCAACGGCCATTTCAAGCTTTGTGACTTCGCGAGTTGGTGTCCCTGTGAAGCCTACACACTAGTTACGGTCCAAAGCTGGCTGCTGGCCTGGGAGAAATTATCCCGGCACAGAGCACCAGCGACAAGGATCCTGGCAGATACATGGTTCCGCTTGACTTCGAACAATTCGTTCACCGCGCGATAGTCAGCGGTAGTCTGGCTCGCAACGGCGAATTGGTCCATGATCCTGTTCCCAATTCTGCCAACGCTGGCGTTCTTTGCCCGTCCCTTTTCCCTTGTTTTGGTTTGGACGACGAGCATTTTGTGGAGGACCTCTAGGTCTAGGTTCGGGTGGTCGTGTAGAACCAGATGCACTCGCCATAGACGAAGTGCCTGTGCCATGAAGAATTGCATGCTTCTCCTCTTCGGACATTGGCACATCTGCGATAGATACCTTTCCCGGTGACAAGTGCGCATCAGACGGCAACTGTCTCACAACTTGTTCCGGTCCCAGGCCCACCAACTTTCACCCGAACAAGCCAAAGCCTACGCGATTCTTTCCCACGTGTGGAAGCAACTGCACAATATTGCACAAATTGGAATTTCCCAATAGCTTGCAAAACATAGCCTTGCAAGCCAAAGGCTGCACAACCCCAATAGCTTGCCGCACCGAAGGAGTCAGTATGTTGTAAGACACATGATTTCATTGTTTTTGATGCACCTTCAGTATTTCTGATGCATGTTGAGTTTGTTTTCGAGCCCCACCCTCACGGCCGGCTTCCCGACCCGACGGGCCCCGAAATGTTTGTTGAGCCACTTCCTTTTTTTGTTTGATCCGGTGCATTAAGTTGTTTGGCTCCTCTCTTTTATCCGGTGGCCGAATTATCAGTTTAAAGCTTTTCAGAACAGGCTGTGAACCCATGGACCCGCTTGGTTCACAGAATTTCCAAACAGCTAAGACTCATCGCGGCAATACTGTGGCGATATCAGAAACCTTTCCGGCCTCAAAGGCCGCGGGACAAACATACTCGAGCTTATGAAAATCTACACATCCGTGTTCGAGAGTACGAAACAGACAGGGCAAGCAAGCATGTAGCCGTGCCGCAGTCTGCCCCCGCTTCTCGTGAAGTGCAAGCTCGGTGCAAAATGCGCCCACGGCATGAGTTTCATCATTCCGCTTAGAACAGAGGGCTTCCAGAGTCAGTCTGGGGCCTTGCCTCCCTAGCGTTCGGGGTGGGGGGAGCCGAATGTACTGACAGCCAGCGTTCCCCGGCTGGCTGGCTGTTTGGCTGGCTGTCTATGACATCCCTGCATGCTGTCGCTAAACCATTCCGCATGCGGCGCAAACAATGAAACAGAAAAGCAGAGGAAAGAAAGTTGGAACATCATCTTCCTTACACCACCAAGGCAAATTATGGGGAATACCCACAGCAATCATCCTAAATCCATGTTCCAACTTTCTGGTATAGTTAAGCTGAGTGCTCAGGATTGTCGATAATCTTCTACCGGTAATCATTTCAACCATTTTCAACCTGTCAAGGACCGACTTGTCCAGAAGCAAATGGCCTTCATGCGACTTGGCGGCATGACCGTTGTGAAACTATGTCGCAGAACCCACGATACTCGTGCCTGAGGATATCACGGCGAAAGTTCGATCATGACTTTGGGGAGGTTGCCTTTGGCGTCAATCGTGTGATTTCATTGCGGGACAACTTGTCAGCAGGGGCTTATCATGTGACATAGGATGATGAGCTGAAAGAGATTGCCTCCGGCGAGAGCCTCTCGAAGCACTTCATCTCCTTAGCCAAGGAGCCGAGTTTTGCAGGGTTGATGTTTGGGTTGTAGCCAGGGTGCAGACGGTCCGCGAAGGAGCTTGATGTTCTGGAGCCCAAGCTGCCCGAACAAATCTACAAGTCGCACCTGGAGGCACGCGACCAGCGTCAGACGAGCCGGCCAAGAGGGCCGTTCCAAGCAATCTGACAGACACCTCGCTCGCGAACCTGTCACTCGAAATAGAGTCTGCCACGGCTTGTAGGGTTTGGTGTGCCGTACGGGACTTGATTGTTGATACGGCAACAAGCAGGTAGTGGAAGCAAAGCAGTGCAAGCTTTAGAGCAGCATGGTTAGCAATGTCAACACTGCATTTGTCTGCGCGCAACATGACCGTCGAGACACCAGAAACCTTCCTACAGGAGAAGCGGTCCACTGCTGTATTGGATTCTGCAAAGCAGAACTTGGCCTCCTCCTTCGTGAACGCTTTCGTGAATGCTGGCTTCTGCAAGGAATTCTCTGCGCGTGGGCGCGTGATAGCAAGCCAGACTGAGAAGCGCGAGTGTTGCTGATGTAGGACGAGCTAATGACGATTGCGGACTCGAAGTGGGTGTACAAGAACAAGGCTTGCCCGGTCGCACAAAGCTCACATCATGGCCCCTACATCCCAGTTTGCTTAGGATATCTTAGGATAATCTCAGCTTACTTCGGGAAGCAAGTGTTCATTCGGGAGGTATCTGCCAAGATAACGAGCAGTAAGTTCTTTGAAGGATCAGGGCATGATGAGCACTGTGGGCTCCTTGGGAGCGCTGCTCTTGTGGGGTATCGACGAGGGCCTCACGCAGATCGACAAGTGCGCCTCACGTCGACGTAAAGACCATGCCGACTGACGGCTGTAGGTTGAGGAGACATGTGGAGGCCTGGAGGCAACAAAGACCCCTTCTCTTGAGGTACCAGTGGAGTTCAGATGTGAACCTGAAGGCGCTGCACTCTGCCCATCTCTGCCCGAGTCGGCTCACGGCTTTGCTGACGGGAGCCAGGCTGGCGCGCTGCTGGCTTTCGGCCTGGTCACTTGTGGTGCCAGACCCTCAGCGTAGCCAGACTTCAGCCCTCAGCGAACGACCTTCCCAGGTCAAGAACGAATGTGATCCGGCATGGGCACTTCTGGGTGAGCAGCTGGAGGCTGAGGACGCTGTTGCAGAGTGCGCGAAAGGCTTGTAAGTTCTCTTTTCCGGCCTTCAAGGATCTTCAAGGCAGGGGTCGAAGGGAAAGCCGCACTTCAGCTGCTGCAAACTTTTGGAGCGTATTCCCCGACGAAAGTTGCGGTGTGTCTGTGGAAAGAAAGGAAGTTATCTAGAAGCAGCTGTTTCGAATGCACTTCGCCGCAACCAGCACGAAGTGAACATGCCCTGAAGCTTGTCAACAACATAGTCCGAAACCGTTTTCTGCAAACGTGCAGATTCCCGAGTGGCAAGCCTGTGCATGAACACCGCGTGTTGAAACATGTCCGGAAATTGTAAACGGCTCTCAGTGGTTCTCGAGCCATTCGCCGTGTTTTCGGACAGGGAAATGCTGTGTGGGGTGATCCCTTTAGACGTTCCTGCGAAGTGATGTGCAGACGTTCACTCCAAGGCGCTGTTGCCCCGTGCCGGCGCTGAAAATTTCGAGTAATCGGCATAGTTTTATTGTTGAGGCTGTTGAGGCAAAAGACTGCCAAGTCCTTGCCGTTGCTTGTTTGCTGGAAGGAGTCTCTCTTCTGTCTTTATCATCGGTCTAGATTTTCGTCACTGTCACTTCGCAAGCTTCATCTTGCAGGATGGACAGCTGCGATTAGCGGCAGTCGTTGGCCTGGGGTACGCATACGCAGGAAGCTGCCGAGAGGACAAGCCGGCAAGAAATCAGCAGAGAAGGTCAAAGCTAACCTTTGATCTCCGACGAGGACCTTCTGGAGAATCTCACTCCCATGATCGTTGATACTGCCCGGGCCTGATTGTCACACGGTCTCGACCTGGTTGTGAGTAAAGACCGTCGAGTAGCCAGATGTGGCCAGGAACGGCGGGAGTGGAGTACACTAGCCCACATGGATTGTACCCTAGCTTGCCTGTTAAGCACTAATTAAAGCTGGGGAATGACTTGGAGCTGGCTTGAGGACATTCGACAAACGACGTTTGCTCGGCTCGAATGCCTACTCAAGACATGTATTCCAGCTTTCGTTCCGGGGGTACCCCCCTTGTGGAAAAGAAGTAGCTATGGCAGACATGCCGGCCTGTGTCGAACCAGATCTTGCCCGAGGCCTGCAGCATCGAGTGTTCAGCTATGGCAGCAGTCAGCTTGGGCCTGGCTTTCGTGTCATCCTGCAATGACGAGGCCCGTAGTCACGCGCATCGTCGCAGACATTTTGCAGTCCGGAGCGAGCGGTCAAAGTGTTTGGGAGGTGGCCCAGGCAATTCTGCAAACTCTCATCGAGAGACAAGTCTCCTCCTAAGCCTCCGTCAATGTCTAGACATCAGTGACTCAACGAACTCGGCTTTGTCTGCGGAGGCCGTGGAAAACGCCTTGAGTGGTACCTGGCCACACTTTTTTGCAGTTGGCCTAGGCAAGGAGCCAAGCAGGCAGTGTCAAAGGTGGTGACCTGCAAAAGCCCTAAATGCAGGTCTGCTGTACTTGGGGCAGCAGGTCAGCGTCTACGGCTGAGAGCACAGTAAAATGACATTGAAGCGCGCTTGCTTTCAGGATGCTGCAGAAGCTACTTTGTCAGCCCTGGATGCAATCACACATCCAGTGGGGAAGTATGCGAAGCTGACCGTGGAAGGACTCTGCCCCACTTGCAGTGCTACTGCTAGCCATGCGTAATGTTTCCGCCGATGTTCCTGAGATGTTGCTTCTACCAGTTGGAGGCTTCGCTTTTGCTTATTCTGGTGACGTATTGCACGTGCAGAAAATGTGGTGCTCCCGGCTTGCAGCCGCAGATTGTTGAATGGTTCCTCGCTGATTTGAAACGACATGGGGCTTGCAGAGCTAAGTCATAAGGCTGCAAGCATGCACCGATCACCTTGAAGAAGCGGAAGCCTTTCACCAGGCCTCTTTTGTTGCTCTTGCTCCTCATCGCTGGAAGTGTAATGCTTGCCTCAGGCAACTGCGGTGCTTGGAATAGCTCTGATTGCTTTCGGCGAAGAGATCGGCCACGGCCCAAGCATGTGTGAAAAAGATTTGAGTGGTCTGCATCATGTTTGTGTGACGAAACACGTCGTGTTAGCTGTCTATGCTAGGTGCCGAAATGGCATGCAGATCGATTGATCACATTCTTCAATATGGGGAGCTGACGCTCAGGCTTTACATGTGACTGGTCTGCTTCGGGGTGTTAAGCCAATTGAAGAGAAGCAGCCATGGAGGCGAGCCGTCCCCATCGCCTTGGCGATCCTGCATCTGTCCAATCCGAAGGTCAGCAATGGGCCTCGTTTCAAGTCACATTTCAGCTCACAGTTCTCACGCACGAAGCAGGTGCTCGTGATTGACACGCTTGCGAAGCTGTCACACGATGCAGACCAGGACGCGAATGCATGGCGAAGCCTTGCCTGCACTGTGGGGGTGTCCTGCTTCAGGATGTGGCGACAGGTGCCATCATGAGTATGGGTCTGATAGGCCGGCATAGCTCGGACTTGGCAGTGATAGTGATACTTCTGTCGGGTGCGCGTGTCAGACGCGTTTGTAGGTGCCGGGACGAACAATGCGCGTCTAGCAGGCCTGCTCAGGCCAGCAGGCTTTGGGCTTTGGGTCGCTGATGCTGTTGAAGTTGATCTCTCAGTCAGATATTTGCCTTTCCAGGCAGCTGGCGGCATACTATGCGAAAGACCCCAATGCGCTCTTCATGGTCAGAATTGCTCAGGGTGGCTCTCCTCGACCAGACATTGCGGATTTGACGCTGCGTGATTTCTTGATGGGGTTGATCGCGATAGTGTTCCAACACAGCAGTTGCTCAACTAGATGAAGAGTGTGCGAAGAGGCCAGTACAGATTGTTGCTGCCCTTTCGTGAGTTCTTTGCATGCTGCTCATGGTGTCAAGACGCAGCTGAGGTCTTCTGTACATGGGCAAGGGTCTCCTCACCATCAATCCTCTCTTTAGCGATCGTTGCTGTGTTGCAAATGGCGCTTTCGCCTGTGCATACCCCTCCCTGACCATGTGTATGCAGCCTTTGCAGGTTACTTGGTGGATCCAATTGCCTTTGGCTCCCTTGCAGTGTTGGCCAATTTCCCGGCTGTGGAACTGTCAACGATGGTACCGTGCTGGAGACGTACTGACCTTGCCGAGGCACATTCTGTGCTGCACCTCAAGTGGCTTGGCTCTGCTTGGCGCGATGGAAACTATCCGCACATGTTCCTGGAACAAGGAACACAATTCTGGGCAAAAGCCACTACTTGCTGTACAACGTGGTCCCAGCGATGCGACCAAGATGGTTGATTACGGTGGACGAGGAATCGTGGGTGCGTGACAGAAGCAAAGGACAAGTGTTGTTTGGCCGTCGAAGGACATGAACGAGCTGAAGGTGGCTGTCCGAGTAGGTCAGGCTGTGGACGCAGCCGGCCAAGTCTTCTGTTAGGAGAAAGTCATCGCATCGCTGTAATGTCGACCCAGAGAGCTTTCCACAGGTCACTGGCATGGCTGGCCGTCCAAAGCAGATTACGGGCTTCCAGACAAGAACTACCCCAGTGCTTCTGAACTTTCAGGCGTTGATCTGTTAGTGATGTTGGTTGGTGTTTACATCGTTGACATGCCAACAGAATCAACGCATGAGCGTCATCTTGTGCATCTGATGTAGCAGGACAGAGCGGAGCTGGCGACAGAAGAGTACCTGCCGGTGACACCTGGAACCATCTTAGAGGACTGGGGGGTTTTTCAGTAATCTGCAACGCTACCGGACAGCCGTGTTTTGGTAAGACCCTGGCGCTAGAGCCACATGCGAAGGATTTTGTCATCCTGAAGAAGAATCCGAATTACAAGCCTGCTACCGGTGCTGCGTAGCCGGATCAGTGCATGCCTCCTCGGGCAGATACACCGTGAAAAGCCACTGGATGTACATTTATGGTTCGTGGTTTCCGTTGGTTCGTTGAATTTCCATATGTAGGTCACGTCGTGTCACATGCCAGATACTGTCCCAGTCATATCTCGCAGCAACAAGACGCACCGGTGCTAGCCTAGGTTCCCAAGTGACAGAACATAGCCAGGCTAACACCGCATCTTTTTCTGTTGAGCATGGACATGATTCTCGCTCCGCCACGTCACGGGAACCTGCTGGGCGGCATCAAAGCCATGTGACTAGAAGATCTGGCGGTGCAGACGAACATAGCACTCCACTATTGGACAAAAAGCCGCGCGAATTTCTCGCAAGTTGTTATGCCATGCGTCGAAACCAGCGTGATCTTGCGAGTGCGGGCCGCCACGTCATGCTCCTGCCTGTGGCTCTGGTGAAGGTACTCCAGCCAAAAGCCAGGTCAGACGTCCACAGCAACTCATGCAGTTTCAGCTGCTTGCGCCATTTCCGATGAATAAAGCTATCAAGGGCTCAGGCCAGATCCCTCCTGCCAGATACATGAGCATGGTTACCAACACAGGTTTGTCACAGACAGCAGCCTGGCAAAGCCCAGTCGTATGTATGTAGCACTGCCTCCTGGTCTTGATGGCCTCAGCCGATGATCGTGAACTCGACAAGCACGACGCCTGAATTCCAGGCACAGTCTTGAGCCGGACCGAGCACCGTCCTGCAAACGCACCCGAAAATCCTTACAGTCTGGTGCAAGGCCAACTTCTCGGACCTTTCCTCGGGTCTGGGCTTCGAACTCTTGACAACAGCTGGTCGATGCCGCAGAGCCAGTGGCAATGTAGTCATGGTAATCGAGTTGGCCCAAGGCTCCATCATCTCCAACCAGACGAACACTACATGGCTCTCGGCCGCAGAGGACAGGGCCTCAATGCTCGAAGTCCTCGGTGTGTACTGCAGACAGCTCTGACAGAGCCTTCACGATGCCAGCATGTCTGGGCCAGTGTGACGAGGTAGAGCATTTCCTTGGCGACCCGGATGTCATGCATGCTATCGGACTGATTCTAGGCCCGTGGCAGCGCTCCTCTGTGACATTCTGTGATGATTGCAGAAAGGGCGTGATTGGTTTTGTGTCTGCTTGATTTCGTCCTCTACGAATGCTGATATGCTCAAGCTGAGCACCGTGAACGTGCTTGCAGTCAAGAGGCGTAGCCGTAGCTGTTCTTCCATCAGGTCTGGTACACAATAACGATCAGAAGTAATATACAAGGAGCCATCCTGGCCAACGCTTCCCAAAGGCCGAAATGAATTACCCCGCTCTGCTTACGACCCACGATTCCTGAGCTCAAGATGTGTTTTTTTGTTTGCGTGGTGCTGATGTAAGTTAGAATTCCAAATGCTCTGAAAAAAGGGCATGTTTTCTTTGTGGTGTCTAGTGTTTGGGTAAAGCGATTGTTTGTAATGCAGGAACGGGAGCCATCGTTTGGGGCAAGAGGCCGGGCAATCCGCAGCATGGCTGTAAGGAGGGTCGCCGGATTTTACTGGCATCTGAACGAGCATGTTCTGCATCATCCACTCTCGAAGGCTGCCGCACATGTTGGCTGCCGTAGCATCGACAAGCCTTGGTCTTTGGATTGGACTGGTGGCTCAGGCCGGCGCAGCAGACGGGGGGGTGTGGATAGTTGTGGACACTGTTCTCACATCACCCCCGAGCCGGTACTGGTGACCGAAGCCGACATGCTGGAAAGCGAGGGCGCATGGCACCGTACATCTGTATTGGTTACGGTTTTTGTCTGATGATGGGTGATGGTGCTGTTGCTGACAACGGTAACAACCATGGAGAATAGAAGTGACCGTCATGACTTTAGCACTGGTGGTGGTCGTTTCAATGCTGGCGCAAGGAAGTGAAATTTATGCCGGCGTAGGCCCCAAAGAGTGGAAAAGCACCTCCAGTAGCAGCCCAACCCAAAAACCATCCAAGACCACCCCATGAGTCCAAAAATGCGCACCATACTGTGTTGGGAGCAGGATTGGCACTGCCAACTCCAAGATTGGAAGGCGGAAACACGAGTCCCGAAATACGGCACCTCGTGGCACTGCGGAGCACGATGTCGCGGAAGTCATAGTCTTAAAAGCGTCAGAACGACTGGGCGAGACCAGCTCCGAGGAGGTGAAGAGGGTGGCGCTGCTTCAGGCCGAAGGCTTGAGCACAACGCTGTGGAGCCAAAGGGTTTTGTTATGAATTTGGGGTCCTGGGGGCCGGCATGGGACACCAGAAAGAACCGGAGTTGGTCGAGAATGTGCGCCGCGAGAGGCGTAACGGTCGTGTGCGCCGTTCAGTCGCAGTGCTGAGGGTGACACAAGTCATGTGATGGTGATGATGATGATGATGATGATGATGATAGTGATCAAAATGAAGACAGAGGCGATGACGGCAACGACGATGGTGAGAATAGAGAGATTACTACTGGTGCTGTGATGCTAGGGTACGTTGGCGATATACTGAGGATATCAACGAGGATGTGTATGGTGATTATGATGACGGCGACAACCTATCCGCTCCCAGGGGCACCCTCCTATGGGGTTGCAAGCGCGGTTTTCTGCAGGACAGGCAGCACTTCCAGAAGCCTGTCTGGGGAGTGGAACTTCCAGAAGGCGCGGCGAAGGTAGTTATCTTTGCCATGCGGCCGGGCCGGGCTCCCACTCCGTAGATCCCCGTGTGACCACCGGAGGAAAGTGGTTCCCTTGGGCAGCGGGTATTGCCGCCGGAGCCGCAGCCGCCAGGGGCCCTGGCGGCCTAGGGGCCTCTTGAGCTCCGCACGCAATGTTAACCCTCTCATGAGCCTGCCGTCTGAAGGGACTATATAGGCAGGCAGTTTGCACGGTCAAAGCAGCGAAGGCGATCCTGAGCTACTTCACCTGGAAGCTGGCCGTGACCCCAAGGGCAGGGGCCAATGAAGCAGGCGAGTCGCGTGTGAGCTTTGCAAGAACGCATCGGCAAGAAAAATGGAGTAATTTTGGCTCACACAGTGTCTTTGAAACTTTGATTGACTTGCATCGGATTGTTCTTTCCGTTGAGAATCCCACGTAACAGGTCTAAGGTAGGTGGCATAATGGCACAGTGCTAGACTCTAGACATGCATATGCATATGCCGGAGATTTCAAAGACCGCTGCCGCGGCCTCGACCGCCCAAACACTACATCGTTCACAAATCATCCGCCTCCCAGCAACAGTTTCCACGAATCTGGACAGGTTGAGAGCAAGCCGTCACATAAGATGAATCGTTGGCCGGCTTTCTTCGAGAGTGGCTGAGGCCAAGCCCTGTCCAGCGTTGCTTTCTAGTTGCCTTCGCATTGCAGATGCCAGCGTAGACTCTGCCAGCAGAAGACTTCCTCCTGTCTTCTTTCACAGAATCTATGCACCCCCCGGCCCCCTATGCCGGTCGCCAACACAGCCAATTTTCAAATACCAAAGGGAGTAAACCAAACGCTGAGACGCTCGACCCGGCAGATCTTGAACTTTGAACATGTTTGACATCTGTTGACCAAGTCCCCCCCTTTGAATAGGACATCGCCTCTTATGGCGAAGGTCTTGATCAGCGCAGCTGAACGCCGGTCTTTGCATGCGAATTTTCGTTTTCTGCTTGCCCCAGCTCTTCGAAGCTCTGCTTCCGTGCAAGCAGTTGGAGCATCCATGAGCATCCTGCTCAGGCCTTGGCATTGCTGACGGGTGGTTTGGTGACTTTGCTCGCCCTCGCCGCAAGAGACTTACAGTCGTCCGGCTCCGGGTTTTCCGTGGTTCCGCGTGCTGCAAGGCCTGCCGCTTGGCAAATGTGTCGCCCGAGAAAGTCTTCGAGCAAAGCTCTCAGTGGTCAAACGGCCGAATCGACACAGGTGAAACTAGCTACACTATCTGCCTTGTTTGCTTGCGTGTTTGCCTGGAAAGCTTACTTCGGTCCATCGCTGTAGGTTGGGATCGAGCTTGCTGTCCTCGTACCGGCTGATTGGTTGACGACCCAGCCATGCGCAGTGCCATCAGCTGCTTGCAGCTTCTTGCCTCGCAGAGCCGCCACTGTGCCATTCATCGCGGGGTTGATGCATGTTGCTGCGTTGAACGTTGTTGTCTTGCAGACTGCTGCCGTACTGTGTAGCTAGGAAGCAGCTAGGATATCATGGGCTTTAGAGAGGTGCTGTGGTGCTGACTCTGTCAGTCATTGCCGCTTGGCAGCGCCTAGCTGGCTCTCCGAACGATTCGAATCAAAGTGGCACTTGCCGTTTCGTTGTTCTGCGCTCTGTTTCCTGAGGCGTTTTTCTTTACGGTCCGGAAGTGCCATGCGCAGATGTCTGAATTCGCAACTTGGCTTCTCGAAACCCTGTATCTGCAGCACTGCTAGTCCTCTCCACAAAACTAAATAACAGGAGAAAAAGTTTCAGAAAAAGGGTACCCTTATTGTTCTCGATAATGATTAGTTAAGGGGTCACTCAGGAACCTAGGCTGCATGGCATTTGCTTGAATTCAGCTGGTTTCGGTGCATGCTATTCAGGCATCAGCGCAGCTGGGCACACTCCTGCTGCTTTCAGCCGCTGGTGCCCCAGAAGGCTGCGGAAGAAGGCAGGAACCGTTGTGCTGCACGAGGTTTCGCACTTCGCCGCGCGAGTCGGAGCAGAGGCAAAGTGAGCACAGGTTATCGAAGCAGTTGTGCTGACTGCCACCAGTGATAATTTTCTATAATTTTAAATTTTGCACATGCTTCGGACGCCTGGGTTGGGGGACAGTCTTGAAGCGAGGGCGGGCGCATCTCCCAGAGCTCAGATGAGCGCGCGAGGGCTGCATCTGTTGGCGTTACAGGCTCCTTTCTCCTTGCTGGATGACTTGGCACGGATGGTGGCGGAGGTGCACAGCTCAGTGCTACTCAGTGCTCCCGTTGGCTTCCACATGTCATAGACCTGCGCACTGCACACTGGTTCGAGGCTGCACTGCTCAGCAATAACTTCACGCGAGAGAGAGAGAGAGGATCGAGTGATCGACCCCTACGCCCTGCAGCACGAAAGAAAGAAAGAAAGAAAGAAAGAAAGAGAGGGAGAGAGAGAGAGAGTAGCCATTTTGGCTCAAGCCGCGAGCGGTTCAAGGTCCGAGCCCAAAACCTCAGGGAGAGAGAGGGAGGACCTCAACCCGGGCGTGGAGAGAGAGCCGAACAGAGCCGTTGTAGAGAGCCATCGTCATCATCTTGATCCTTGTAGTTCTACGCGACTTCCTGCTGCGAGCCCGGGAGGGAGACATCGTCGGGTTTGCTCTTGGCGGTGATCACTGATCCGGCGTGCGGGGGAGTCTGACACCAGCTTTGGGACCGGCATCGGCGAGCCTACAGGGGAACGAGCCGACCCAAAACTACCCGCTCTCCGTCTACGCTGGGCGGGGGAGACTATCCATTACCTGACTGAGCACTACCTCGGGAACCGTGACCTCGCAAAGAACAAATGGCGACTGGAGTAGGTGAACCGCAGGGGCCCCCTAAGCGAGCCCGGGAGCTGGACACTGGAGCGACCAATAATGTGGACGATAATGGGGAACGTATCACTCTCTCCTCGATCCGTGAAGCCATTCGAGAACAACTTCGGGAAGAACGACACATTCTCACAGGGGAACTCCGTGAGGGACTCGCCGAAGTCAACCATCGAATTGACACAGTGGAACAATGCACGACCACCCTTATGCGGACTGTCACCGACAAGCACGTCGCCCTCGACGCAAAGGTCACCAAGATCGAGGAGCAAAGCAACAACCTCGGACACCGACTGGACCTCCTGGAGGGGAAGTTCGCTACAGCCCAATTCAACACAAGCAGCACGCGGGGGTCAGATGGATCCTCCACCGAGGCGGCAAGACCCGCGATCGTCTTGGGGGGATGGTCCGCTGAGCAAGCCGCTCAGGTTGGTCAAACAACACGTTGCGCAGCTCCAAGTCGACCTAGACATGGACGATGCCTTTGTTCCAGGCCTTCGCCGCGGCTTCGCCATCTTGCCCCTTCAGCCTCGAGACGGGGAAGACCAAGCCACCCACCGGGGGAGAGTGCAGGAAGCCCTTCGCACTATCCGGGCGGCCAAAATCATCACAGGACCCCGGCCGGAGGGAGGTAACCGATACTTCTTTGCGACGATGAGTCAGCCTTTGGAGAGACGCAGAAGAGCGCAGTTTGCGGGGAAAATCAAGCGGCTCATCCTTGAGGCCGGCGGCCGAGCCCAAGCCCTGGAGGTCGAGTACGGCACAGCCAACATATGGTACAACGCAGTTAAGGTGGCCTCCGGGGTTACTACAGCTCCCGCCGGGGCCAAGATCGAGACGGGGGGATGGCTCACTGTGTCGCCACTTGCCAGACAGCTGGGGACCTCTGAAGCGAACCTCGGTGAAGCATGGGATGAGCTCCGCAAGGGGCTCCACTGAGACAACATGGACCGAGAACTGTTTCACCAGCAACGAGGGGAACCCGTTGCACTGCACTTCATGAGTTGGAATGTGGGGGGCCTAAATCTGGCTGCCACACTGCGAATGCTGTCTTCGCTCCGACTCGCCCGAATTCATCCCTTTGACGGTGCCTTCGTGATCCTTCTCCAAGAGATCATCACGGACACAGGAAAACATTTTGCTGAAGAAAAGGGGATCCAACTTTTCGCTGGAAAGCTCGAAGCAGACTGGCGGGGGACAGGCATTGCCCACACCGGAGATGTCCTGCGTACGTCTTGCAAGATGTTGCGAGGTGCTTGCTCATGTGCACTGCGGTACGAAGACTTGAAGTTCCTTGCTACCTCAGCCCACGTACCTCACCATGCCACTATTGAGGCCACCGATGAAATCCTTGACTCTCTAAGTCAGCAACTGCGCCACGTGCACAAAGCTGTCCTGGGGGTCGATGCCAACGAGACCTTCCATCAAGCCACGGACGGAACCATCACCTCGATGACAGGCCGCGGGGAAAACATTCTCCGATGGCAGGAAAAGCAGCGCATGGTGATCCCGAGCAGATGATCCATAAGAGCAGCCACTTTCCCTACAACACACGATTCCAACCGCGCCGCATCGACTACATCATGCTGAAGCACCTGCCCTCCATTCAGGGAGATGTTCTGGCACACAGGGACGTTGCCAGCTCAGACCATGAACCGATTTGGGTTCAGATCGAGATCACGAGCACTACACACAGGCCATCAGAACATGCCCCCGAATGGGGGAGCCGCCGACTTCGAGGACCAACCGAAGTCAAGGCAATCCTCGACCAGCCCATCCTCCGCGGGGACTCGCTGGCCATGCTCACAAAGACAGCCATCGCCATCACCGTCCCGGGGAAGGTCCTCCCGCACTTCGAAGAAAGCATCAACCTTAAACAACTACGCTGCAGAGCTATTCGGCAACCTCCAGGAAGAGAACGGCGGCAGATGTGGAAGGAGGTTTGCAGGTCGCACACCCGCGAACACCGCAAGTGGCGGCAAAAACTCCTGGACAGAACCGCCATCGGGGACTGGACAGCCAAGAAAGCACTCCTTCAGTCGACGCGGAACCATGACTGGGAACTTCCGCTGACTGATGACCCCTCATGGAAGGAGAGCCTGTCAACGCACTTCGCGGGTATCTTTCAGAAACAACGAGCAGCGCTGGTGGATGCGGCTTTCGCGAAGATTGACAAAGAACTAGCTCTACGCTGCAAAGCACATCCCTGGCGACCTTTCACCATGGAGGAGATGCTCAAGGTCAGGAAGAGATGGAAGAACGGGCGATCCTGTGGCCCGGATCTGGTCTCCCACGAGGCGATGAAGGCCCTCCTCCCTCATCCATACTGGGGGGAAGTCATGCGGGAACTCTTCAGTGATATGCTTTACACGGCCAAGATACCGCAAAGCATTGAAAGAGGAGTCAGCATTCTGCTGGCCAAAAACAGCCGCCCCTCCGATTGGGGGGAAACCCGCCCCATCACTATCTCATCATCATTGTTGAAAGCTTTCTCTCAACTCCTGCTCCTCAGGGCAGGGGATTGCGTTATGTCACCTTCCAGACTGCAGTGGTCCCGCAAAAGTAGGCAAGGTGTGGAACTCCTGATGATACTACGCCGGGTTTGCCGGGTTGCCTTCGACTTCGGCATCGAAATGTATGTGGCAAAACTCGATATTCGGAAAGCCTTCGACTCCGTCTTCCAGGAATCAATGGCCTTAAGGGTCCAAGAGCACGTCGATGTACAAGGGGGGATGCCATGGGAGGCTCGAGCGTGGGTCTCTCTCCTGCGCTCTGACACCCTTACGGTGACCTTCTGCGGGGAAAACCTCGTCCTGCGGCAAACCAATGGAGTACGCCAGGGGAGCCCCGACAGCCCCGTTGCCTTTGGCTCGGTGGTCGCCAGAGACCTAGATGAGTGCCTCGGGGAGGCAAAGACCTTCAAGCCGCTCGAGAACGACCCGCCCCCGGAGGACGGCGGCAGCTACATGGACGACACGTACCTCTGGTCCATGTCGTGCGAGCATATGCAGAAGATGCTCGATCTTTTGGGGGAAAAGCTACCAACCAAAGGTCTGCTCTTACACCCCGGCAAGATCGATATCATCAGCAACAAAAGCCCTGCAACGTTTCGCATCGCGGGGAAAGACGTCACAACAAAAGGCCCAGAGCACATCATCACAGTGCTGGGGAGCCCAGTCGCCTTTCATACTACCCCCAGCATCATCGTCGCCTCTATGCAGTCGAGGGGGAGAAAGGCTTTCTGGACTCACAAGGGGGAGCTCATGGCGAAGGCCCCTATAGCAAAAAAGATGATTTTGCATACGATGTTGGTCCGCCAATCAGCACTCTGGGGCTGCGAAACTTGGCCATGTAATGTCCAGATTCTGAAGCAAGCGAACACGATGCAACTCACCCATATTCGCGATATGGCGGGGATCAAAAGGGGGACGCACGAGAGCTGGGCCTCCTGGAACAAAAGGACGATGCGACGAACTCGACTCATTTTGTTCCAACATGGTGTTACAAAAAAACACCCAGCAGCAAGCCGCTGGTCCACATTCATCCCAAGAAGGCGTGCTCACCCCTCCCCTGCCTTCCTCCAGTACTCCGTTGCGACCGTGTTCTACGTGTCCTACATGTTTGTGCAGATTGAGAGCCTTGCCTTCGTGGTCTCCCCGCCCCCCGAGGATTCTGCATTGCTTAGGACCCTGAGAACGTAAAGGTCGATCTGGAAAGCACGCCGAAGTTCTTCCTCGATTCTGCCCCTTGGCTCGAACCCTGGACGTACATGTGGTGACCGTCATGTTCTTCCGCATGCATCTTGAAGAGCTCAGTAATACGCGCAGTCACCAGCGAGACTTGGCTACACAGCCTACACGGCGGGGACCTAACATGGCCCCACTCCAGAAGCTCGTGATGCTCTCTTGGCTCAGGGGAGGTTGGGGGATGCAATTTTCGGGCACACCTGCGGGACATGACCCCCCCCGACCCCCCCCCAGCAACAGACAGGCCGCACCCCCCACCGTACCCAAACACGGCCTCCCAGACGGCTACAGCAGCACACCCTCCCTCTCGGACCCAGCCGGGGCACCAGCAGCCGCAGCCGCCGCAGCCAGCATTCCAAAACGGGGGAGGCATGATACAGCCAATGTACTGGCAACCCCCCTGGATGAGAGACCCCAACATGCCCCCGCCGACCCACCTTACATGGCAATCCACCCACATTACCACCGGGGGGACGCCATTCACAGCATGGGGTGGCTTTGCCATGGCTACTCCTGCCCAACAGGCCGCCCAACAGCCACACCAAGCATACTTCCCGCCGCCAGCTTACCAATTGCAATACTCACAGCCACCCAATATGCAAAACCAGCCACAACTTCTCTCACATCAACCACAGCAATCTCCCACAAACGCAGTACCACAACAACTACCCCTTTCCCAACCGGCAGCACTCCACTCTGCACAGCGACCCCCCCCTGGCCCAACATGGCAGAACCTACAGGATAGCCAGACTTCGCAGCAACCACTGGGCCGGCCCCCGGCACAAGCAACGCAAGCCCATTCCCACACCGGAAGCAGTTCGGCAGCAGCGGGACAACACACCCAGCCTTGTCCTCCCTGTTATGGTCGGGGATTTGCCAGACCGTACGACCCAGATGACGACCCATGGAACACACCCTATTCCTCGCCACGTGGGGCCCCGGACTCCGCCACCCATGCAACAGGCCAAGCAGACCTGCAACCCCCAACAAGGAAAAAAATGCAGCGCCCTCCGGTAGCCCAGCCGTACTCTGCATGGGACGACACCCCGCCGAACACGCCTCAAGCCCGGACCACCTCAGCAGCAGCAGACTCATGCCAACCACCCCAGACCACAGATGCGATCCCACCAACCCCCAAAAGCAGAGCGGTGTCATTCGGACCGCGACCGCCACCTTCGCAGGGCCAGCCACAGGCCACGCCTACGATGTCGTCTGCGACACAACCGCAGCAGCAACAGCATACAGCCGCAACAGACGCGCTGCACATGGATGACCCACCAAGCCTACCACCGTGGGACACTCCGGATGCACAGCAAGACGGCCACACAAGCAACCAAGCAACCGAGGCATCGGTATTCACACCGCAGGAGCTGCGCAACCAAAGGGAGTGGTATGAAGGACAAGAGGGGACATTCCAGGGGGAGATACCTCCTGAAATGGAGTGGGAAGGGGCAGCCCAGCAAGCCGGCCAACAGACGAGCCCCGCCGACGCCGCCGCAAACACCCATGAAGGGGGACCTTCCCTTAGTTGCAGAGCCCGGACATGACCAGCGCCGTCAGCGATACAGACACACAAGAAGCCAACCAACAGCAGGAGACCGACAACACGCAGGCGCCCCCACGGACTCAGCAGCGGCCCCCCTGGGAAACAGCTGGATGGGGAGGCCTCCCACGCAGCAGCCGTGCCACACACCCCACACCCCAGGAGGACGGCCACACAGCCTTCCCCTCTGCAGGGCACGGTTCCCAGAGGGTAGCAAACAAAAGGGGGAAATATGCACACAAGCAGTTGCGCAAACAAGGCCGTGCAATCCAAAGACCAAGCCCTCAGCCGCAACAAGGGCCGGGATGGGGCCTCCGTTTCGAAGGCGAGCAACGCCAACGAGCCGAGCGGCACATGGGCCCGGGGGACACCCCGCCCCCCTCTACGGACGACGAGTACAGCAGCGACAGCTCCAGCAGTGAGGAAGACCACCCATGGAATGAGCACACGCCGAACACTGGCACACAGGCAGGGGGACACTACGGCGAAAAAGCGGCCAACAAGGCCAAGGAGGACTGGAAAGACCTCCTCAACAGACACCTCCTACCACGCGACAACGCTGGCCCATCGGCGACCCCCCCCCTGCAGCCTTCGACTCGCCTTCGACACCTTCCGCACAGCCAGCCACACCCGCCACACCCATCACCACCTCAGCGGTTGCAGCTGCCACTCCCACTCAGGAAGACGACCCCCAACACCCCGACGAAGCGGCACAAGGACCAGACCACCAGCCAGACGAGCCAACAGCCGCGGGGGACGAGTTCCGATGGCCTCCCGAGCTACCCACCACAGCCAATAACCAATACCAGGTTTACCCCCTCACCAACGACTGCTGGGAAATTGCGGTACAGTACAACCCCGACTTCGTTCCGCCTTTTGGGGGGACGTCTCCGCCAACTGCCCCTTACTCTCTGCACGTCATTGTGGCAGGAGACCGAGGCCCACTTGACAGGGCACCTGGCTTCAGTGCTGGAACGAGACTCAGGCTATGTCCGATCGACGGGACCAAGCTGTGGTATGTCTTCGTCATCGAGACACCGCCGGTCGACATGACCGAACCATCGTGCTTCCTCCTCACAACGGGGGATAAGCTTGCCATACAACCGGGCAGAGCAGGGAGATGGGAAATTGAGCTTTCCCAAGAGAGCACGACCCCACCCGATGATGTAGCAGAGGCTAGGACGAGAGTCCGTCACAAGCGCAAAACCCAGTACATGCCCAACAGAGCGGCAGCTGCCTCCTCCTCGAAAGCAAGCTCCTCTACAGACCCCGCCCCTTTACCACAACAACGGCGAACCCCTGACCAACCGACAGCACTCCACAGCAGCACAGCGGCCTCCTCACGGATCCCCCCCAGACCACCGCACAGGGGGGAATGCAGAGCTTCTACGGACCGCCCCGGCAGAAGCCCCAACAACACCAGCAACAAGAGACGGAACCTGTTACTCCATCGGCACAGCACAAGCTGCAGCCCCCCCGCCACCCCCCTCTGACCCCCACTTCTACCCCAGAGTACGAGACGGCCGCAACCTTGGGGGACGACCAGCGCCATCCCCGACCCCAGCTCCAATGCCTGGTCCCAGCCCTGATCAGGCAGACCACACCTCACTGGTGCAAACCGTCCACCCCTACCTCCGACCCGCTAACCCGCAACCCCCCAGACTCACCAGGCCAACGCCCCGACGACAGAGCAACAACCAGCCTCCGTGGTTGCTGACACACCACCTGCAGCCATGCCACCGAGTACACCAGCCACCCTGCCGGCCACCAACAACACCACTGTGCCGCTCCCAGGAGTTGGTGGGGAAGACGTTGCAGGGGCGGCTCCTGAACCCCTCCCGGGGACCTCTTCTCCTGAGCCTAAACCGCAGTGGCAGAAGTTGGAATGCCACCTGATTGCCATCCGCAGACTGGCTGAACACCTCCCAGCAGGGGGGACCACCATCGTTCATGTGATGGATAGTGCCCTAGCAGACCTACTCATGGACAGCGAAGCAGAAAGACACCTAGAACAGAACCTAGGGGCGCTTTTGGGACAAAGCCATGGCTCCGGGGGGAACCGGCCCCGACGCAGACGCTGGACGACCCAGGAGGCCATCATGCACCTGTCCGACGTCGCAAGAGCACAGTTGTCGTCGCGGGGAAGGCCAGAGCAAGTCCTATCGCTGTTGCCCTGCGTCGATGCCATCATAGCCTGGCTGCAACGCATCACGGGGGACACGCTCGCGGACAGGAATATGCCAGAACTCATGGCAATGCTTCGGGAAGCCCTCCAGGCCATCACCACGGGGGAAGCCACCCTGGAACACTGGCGAACAGTCCTCGGGGTAGGTGACAGCCTCCGATCCCTCTTCGAGATGACGCACGGCTGGGAGCGCCCCCTCGACGACTATGTCACCACAGAACCAAGCCAGGGGGATAACAGTCACAGCGAGCTGCAGCCGGGGGACTATGCCATGATCCTGGAGAACCTGGCGGCGTCACTTCTGCACTGGTCGGCAGGGGAACAGATTGAGATGCAGGCCAACCTCCTGAACCTCCTCCACACTGTCTCCGCAGTAGTCGCCCAAGGAGATATACAGATGAGTAGCGGGGAACAACAGCCCGGAGAACAAGGGGGACGTCGGAGTGCGGTGGCTGCGTCCTCGTCGGAGCCCAACAAAGACTGGTGGCTACATGAACGCCATCACGGACTGGGAGATGTTGCCCGCAGTCCGTACTCAGCCGAACCCAGCCTGGCTGCGAGCCGTGCGGGGGACGATACACAGATGCACACCGACACGGAGGAGAACCCGTCACAAGAGGAGGGGAACGACTCTGACGCTTCCCACCGACGGCGACGAGCTTTGGGGGAGCACAGCAAGGACTACTTCTGAGAGTAAGTGACCCGCATAGTGAGCTCCAGTGATCAACGGGGGAGACCACACGGTCACAAGGAGCCGGGCATGTAGCCACTCCCGCTCCCTTTGGTAAAGTCAAGGTTTCTGCGTTCTGTTCAGGTTGCTTTGGAAGTTCGGGTTGCTTGGTTGATTTGTTTCTACACTACCACGGGGGAGAGAGAGTTCACAGTCAAAGAAAACAGGGGGAAAATAACCTGTTCCATTTCCTGTCGTTCTCCTTGCCCTCAAGAGGGACATGGCAGTCTTTTGTGGCCTTAGGTTCGGCAGTTCGCTTTGTTTCAACGCGCCATGCCCTCCAGTGGCCAAGGGGGAAGCAGGAAACCAGTCTCACCTTTGCTCCAGCTGAAGCCGAGGTCAAGGGGGAAGTCATTCTGCATAAGTCCTATCATGCTTGCTGATTCACGAATCCAAGACTTCTACCTCTCATGTCAGGGGGAACAGACCCCTGCATGAAACTCCCCGAAGCAGTAGCGACCAGGGGGAAAGCTCGGTCCATGTGATATTCTTGTATAGTTGCCCTGCTTCCCAATGTTGTGTCTTCGTTGTTTCTCTACTAACTGATCACCCTGGGGGAGCCGACACTTTTGCTGCAACTTACCGGGGGCTGAGCCTCGACGACAACCGTAGGGTAGGGGGAGGCTCGGGGAAGCGTGTGACATTCTTATCTGTGCTCCTATGACCTAGCATGGGTGCCTTTTTTCTTCCCTCAGACCGAGCATCCATACTTTCTTCTACCCCTACA